ATCACTAGGTCAAATGGCAGTTTCATTTTTATTTTTTTAAATAATTTTTTTAATTGATTTCAGAGAGGAAAGTAGAGAAACATCAATGATGAGAGAGAATGATTGCCTTCTGCACACCCCCTCTAGGGATTGAGCCTGCAACCCTGGGCATGTGCCCTTGACCAGAATTGAACCTGGGACCCTTAGTCAGCAGGCTGTTGCTCTTTACAGTGAGTCAAACCAGCTAGGGCTATTTTTATTCTTTGAGGAAATTCTACAGTTTTTCATAGTGGCTGCAACATTCTGCATTCCCATCAGCAATCTACTAGGGTTCCCTTTTCTCCACATCCTCACCAGCACTTTTGTTTGTTGATTTATTGATGGTAGCCATTCTGGCAGATGTGAAGTGATACCTCATTGTCATTTTAATTTGAATCTCTCTGATGATTAGTGATGCTGAGTATTTTTTTCATGTCCATTGGCCATCTGTAGATCTACTTTGGAGAAGTGTCTATTCAGGTCCCATGTCCACTTTTTAATTGGATTATTTGTCTTCCTTTTTTTTTTGAGTTGTATGAGTTCCTCATATATTTTGAAAATTAACCCCCTATGAGATGTACCATCGGCAAATATGTTCTCCCATACAGTGGGCTCCCTTTTCATTTTGATGATGGTTTCTTTTGCTGTGCATATGTTTTTTAGTTTGATGTAGTCCCATTTATTTATTTTTTCCTTTATTTCTCTTGCTCTAGGAGATATATCAGCAAAATCTGCTCCATGAGATGTCTGAGATTTTACTTCCTATGTGTTCTTCTAGAATTTTCTTCTAGGTTTCATAACTTACATTTAAGTCTTTTAACATTTTGAATTTATTCTTATGTATGGTGTAAGTTGGTGCTCTAGTTTCATTTTTTTGCATGAACCTGTCCAATTTTCCCAACACCCTTTATTGAAGAGACTGTCTTTACCTCAATGTATGTTCTTGCCTCCTTTGTCAATAATTAGTTGACTGTAAAGGCATGGGTTGATTTTTGAACTCTGTTCTGTTTCAGGCTGTTTTAATTACAATGGCTTTGTAGTATTGTTTGACATCCAGTATCGTGATCCCTTCAACTTTGTTTTTCTTTATCAAGATTGCTGTGTCTATTTGGGGTCTTTTTGGTTACAAAAACCTTTTTGGAATATTTGTTCTAGATCTGTGAAATATGCTGTTGGTATTTAAATAGGGATTACATTGATTCTATATATTGCTTTGGATAGTATGGACATTTTAATTATGTTAATTCTTCCCAATAATTCCCTTCTCTCTGCTTACCAATGTTTAAATGATTCCTTTGATAGAGGTTCTTGTACTTAATAATTAAGAGATAGGATTAGAGCCACTCTACCAACTCAAGGAGACTTAGCTACCAAATACATAGAAATAAACCTAGGGAAGCAGCCAAAATGCAGAGACAAAGAAACAAGCCACAAATGGATGAAAGCAAAATACTGGTTATAGAGTTCAAAACCATGGTTGTAATGTTACTCAAGAATCTTCTAGAAACATTCAAGAAATTTAGTGAGACCTTAAAGGATATGAAAAAGGACCAATAAGAATTAAGCATATACTGATTGAAATAATGAATAAAATACAGAGATTCAACAGCAGACTATCAGATCCCAGAATTAATTCAACGATTTGAAATACAAAGAAGCAAAAAACACCCAACCAGAAAAGCAAAAAGAATCCAAAAATATGAAGATAGTGTAAGGAGCCTCTGGGACAATTTCAAGCGTACCAACATCAGAATTATGGGGGTGCCAGAAGAAGAGATAGAGCAAGATATTGAAAACCTATTTGAAGAAAATAATGACTGAAAACTTCCCCTACCTGGTGAAAGAAATAAACTTACAAGTCCAGGAAGAGCAGAGGAATCCAAACAAGAGGAATCCAAAGAGGACCACACCAAGAAACATCATAATTAAAATGCCAAGGGCAAAAGACAAAGAGAGCATCTTAAAAGCAGCAAGAGAAAAACAGTTAGTTACCTACAAGGGCGTACCCATATGATTGTCAGATGATTTCTCAAGAGAAACTATGCCGGCCAGAAGGGAGTGGCAAGAAACATACAAAGTGATGAATAGATCACTAGAATGTTGATAACTATAATCATATCATAAGGGTCAGTAGAAAAATCAAAACTTTTAGATTCTGGAGCTAGACTGCTTAATTTCAACTTTGGGTTCTGCCATGTGCCTCAATTTTTCACCTACAGAATGGCAATAATAATACTTCATAGAGTTGCTCTGAGGATTGTTAATTATCTGTTCAGAATCACACTTGGTACTTTGTAAGTGCTTCTTAAATACTGTAACTATTATTTCTTTCCTGACTCTGAAGGCAACTAGTTACATCTACAAAACGACCTCAGAAATCTGATGTGCAATTCAAATTGAAATCAAACTTGCATACTTATATCCTCTTAATTCAGTGTTTTGAACATAGTACAAATGAAGAAAAAGTTATTTTACTTTATTACATAGATACAGGCTTCAATATTTCAAATATGCGTTTTCTTCAAAAGGAAACTGGACAGCAGAGTGTACATAAGGCATCACTTATCAATTATATTATGTTTACATAACAACAGAAAACATGGTTTTGCCTTCATAATTGTAATAATTTTTTCAACAACTTTATTGAGATAATTTATATACAGTACAACTCATCCTGTCACCAGTAAATATTAGTGTTTATTGATTGGCTATTATGTCCCAGGCAATAAACACTAATATTTCATTTAATCTTTATAAAAATCCTTTAAATTAGATATTATTATCCCAAATTTTATAATTAAAACAAAAGTTAAGTACTTTGGCTCTGGCTGGGTAATACAGTTAGAGCATCACCCTAAAACGATCCCCAGTCAGGGCACATACAGGAAGTAACCAATAAATGCATGAATAAGTAAAACAACAAATCAATGTTTCTCTCCCCTTTCTCTCTCTCTCTCTCTCTCTTTCTCTCTCTCTCTCTCTCTTTCATCAATAAATTTTAAATATGTTTTAAAGTTAAGTACTTTGCAGCTAAAGGTTGAGGTGAGGTTTGAACTCAGGTTCATAACTCCAATATTCTTCTCATATCATGTTGTCTCTCTGGAAATTTACTTGCCTTTCTTTTAGAGGTTGGCTGGGAAATGGGGGTAGGAAGGAGGTGGGGCTGAAGAATGTGACCCTTTTTAAAAATATATATATTTTATTGATTTTTTACAGAGAGGAAGGGAGAGGAATAGAGAGTTAGAAACATCAATGAGAGACATTAATCAGCTGTCTCCTGCACACCCCCCACTGGGGATGTGCCTGCAGCCAATGTACATGCCCTTGACCGGAATGAACCTGGGACCTTTCAGTCGGTAGACCAAAGCTCTATCCACTGAGCCAAACTGGTTTCGGCAGAATGTAACCCTTTGAAGGTACTCATGGTTAGAGAAAGGTTAAATTTTTTTAACCTGGCTAAAGAAAAGTCAAATAATATAAGAAATAACAGTAACCAGAAGCTGTTTTCAGAATCCCAAAGCAAGGATGACATGATACTGTAAAACAGTATTATTATGAAAAAAATAAGCAATCATGCTATACACATAAATCATGTCAATATATACTTTAATTTAAAATAGTTCAGTACTTCTTACTAGCATAATTACACCCACCTTTACTGCATTCCTACCAAATGAGTTAGTGCAGACATTAAAAATAGGAAAACAAGAGAAATCATACCAAAATCCTTATCCATCTTTTACATTTTCCACATCATTTATATTTTCCTAAAGTAAAATCTCTGTATATCTCCATGTTTGGAAACACACATTTTTGCCACAATTCATTTATTAAACAAATACTTATGTCAGATGGTACTCATATGGTAGGCAGCACTATGGTATCCACCAAGTGTACAGAGGTTAAAAAATAACTAAATGAATGAATGAATGAATAAATAAATAAATTTAAAAAGATGGACCCAGTCCCCAGTGCAGCTCAATTTATCATTTTAGTTCAGGCTGTCACAAGAAACAGCGAGTGTGCTATAGTTGATCAACAGCACGTGGGGTTTGTAATTTGGGTCAAAAGCTTGCCTCTCTCTACTTTGTGACCTTGGCATTTGGTTTTTGAAAGACCTTGATTTCCCCCTTCGTAACAACTGACTTCAAATAAAAGCTGGCATTCTCTCTTTTCTCAGGTGTGCACACCCTGGAGAAGATGAGGCAAAAGCAACGTCCCTATGACATCCAGGTGAGAGGCGTTTCCGCATGTTTTCTTCCCCTTGAGAGAACCTGGCATCATTCGATTCCCATTTTCCCATTTCACACCGATTCCGCCCGGGAGCGGGGACCTGCGTCTCCCTGCAGCCTGGCTGCCTGGGTGTGCCCGGGGCGCCGCACAAAGAGCTGCCAAAGAGCATGCACCTAAGACGGGCATGGGGCGCAGGAAGGTGCCCGGGAAGGGCCCTGCGGCCAAGCGTTCGGATCCTGATTGTGCTTTCCTTTGGGCCCACACGAGCTCGGGCTCCGCGGCTGGCAGCAAAAAGACCAGCCGCGGAGTTGTTAACATTCCTGCCATATCTCAGCCCTGCCCACGCCTCCCCTCCCCACCCTTCCCCGTCCCCCAGGCAGCAGTGGTTGCGCAAACAGGGGTTTTCTGGCATTTCTGGGAAAGAGGTAGGAGAAGGCCGAAGTGGAGGGCCATCGGGGCAGTGGCTCCGCTCCGGGGAGAGGGGGGGACCCCGGAGAGCTAGCCTCAGGGGACCCCGGGGGAAGAGGCCGAGGAGGGATGCAGGACGAGCGGGCGCCGGTGGAGGGCAGCCGAACCCGGCGGAGCCCTGACTCCGCCCCCTTCTCCCCCCACGTGACACCTCTTTTGGTTTCGACCTGCCGCCTGGGCGGGGCCGCGGGACGCCGTTCCCACAATGCTCCGGGGCGTGCCGCCGTCGCCGCCGCCGCCGCCGCCGCCGCCGCCGCCTCCGCTGCCGCTAGTGGAAGAAGATGGCGGAAGGCGGAGCGGCGGATCTGGACATCCAGCGGACTGACATCGCGACGCTGCTCAAAACCTCGCTCCGGAAAGGGGACACCTGGTGAGGGGAAGAGGTCGGGGGTGGCCGCGGTTGCCGGAGGAGGGTGGGGGCACCTGGGCGGGAACTGCTGCGGGCTGGTCTCGTCTTCGCTTAGTGACAGGTGCGGGCAGGTCCGGCGGCGGCGGCCGCCCTGGGCTGGGCAGGGTTCTGGCCGCTCCGGCCAGGCTCCGGGTCACAGATGGGAGCCGAGATGAAAGAGCCAGGGCTCGCGGCCTGTCCGGACAGGCTGAGCGGCCAGGCGGGAGCCGGCGCGGCGGAGGCAGCTCGGGGCAGGTCTGTTTCCTCCTTCCTCCTCCCGGAGCCGCTCCCACTCCGGGCCTGCCCCGACCCCGCGGCTACCGCCGTTCGGCGCGGGTCGCTTCGTGCAGTTTGACAGGTCCCGGCCCCGCCGCTTCTCACCCCGTCTCGCCCCCCTTCGCTTCTCCAGTCATTTCTTTCCCCGGCGTGGTCGGCATCCTAGTTCCCCATTATTCTGGTTCTTGCATTCATTCTTCCGGGGGGCGGGCTGCAGGATGTTTGCGGTGAGGGCTACACAGGTGGCATGTGTGCGGGCGCCACTTAGAGAGAAGGGAGCCCCCGTTTCCAGCTTCTTGGTGAAGAGGTGGAGGAAGCGGGAGGGAAACCTTAGGCTTAGGAGAAGGCACCACGTGGTCTTGTGCTTCAGCCGAGGCTGGAGAGAAGCCGGCTGCGTTTCTTAGAAGGGCAGCGCAGCCCTTCCCTCCCGGCTGGGAGGATAGCGTAGGCCTGCAAGAGGTAGATAAGTCCACCGGAGGTTTAAGCCACCGGCGAAGGCACACAAGCTTGTAAAAATACCAAAGGATAGCCTTTAAAAAAATACTCAAGGAAGTGGGTGGAGGTTTTCATACTTGTTGGCCATGTTAAGGGATATCCCCCTCCAAAAAAAATAACTTGAATGTATTTAAGTGTGAAACAGAAACAGAAAGTGGTGTGTTTCTTAGGAAGGATAAAGCGTCCCTTGATGACAACAAAAATTGTGGGGGGGGTTTTTTTCGGTTGCCGTCACCATTAACAGTGGTAGGTAGTTTACAGTGTTTTTGCGTGTGTCCCAATAGGGCTTAATGGAAGGAGCGTAAGATTTACACCTGAATTAAGTCATTGATACACCACCTAACTTGCAATGTGACTGAGGAAAGTTAATTTAGATCTTTCTACTTAAGTATCTTTATCTGTGAAAATGTACAGTAATCATTTCACTAATATGGGCTTTACCTTGATTTGGTGACATGTTCTAAAAGATGATTTTCTGTTTATGAGATAACACGTTTTAGTACTTTGATCTGTCTTGATACTTTTTGCCTACTTTGTTAGGCTCCATACTATATTTATACTATAAAAATCTATGTTTATACAATAAGGAAACATATACTTGTTGCATTACAGCAAGAAAATATAATTTACGACTTGTTATTTATATCGGACTGTTCCTTGATGTTAATTAGTATGGGGAAATTAGACATTTCCTAGAACACTAATGAAACACCTTGGCTTGTGGATTGTTAAAGATTAAATCAACCCGCTTCCTATTGTTTGCTAAAGATCACTTAAAAATTCTTAATACATATGGCCTTTAACCTTGTCATAAAAAGATAAATGTGGATTTCCATAAAATACAATTCGATAAATTAAAGTATGGACATCATTTATATAGCTAGTCTCTTTAATGTTATGTTTTTGTTATAGTGAGTAATAATTGGTGTTGACACTACAGGATGATAGCAGCTATATGTGTATTGTGGGCATTAAACTTTTTAAAGTTTGATATTTTTAAAATTAAAGTATTTTTGCTTTTTGACAAAGTTACTGTATATTATTTTAAAGAGTAAATACAAGGAGTCTATTAATTTGAGTCATTTCAGTGCTTTCATTTTAAAGACAAAGAAACTAAAGACAAGGAATTTAGGTTAACCACAAAATGTTTACCCTCACTGATTTCCCCACATATTTTAAGGGGGCAGGGAGAAATGCAGGAGCAAAATGGTACTGGGGAGTTGCAGAGACCAGTTTGATTATAGTGAGCCAGTTTACTTGATATTAGCAGGGAAAACCTATCTATTGAAAAAGGAACTAGAGCAGAACTTTGATTCAGAGTTTTAAGGTGACTAATTTGATAAGTACAAAGTTGATAATTATTCATGAATACAGAACTGATAAAGATATTTAGTAAGTTAGTTATTACTTAGGCTCATGTTTTTGGAACTCATTGAAATGAGTTTTTAACTCTTATTAAATAGTTATTTCTCTTTTTAACTTTTTTAAAAAAAATTTTGAGTTAGCCATTTATGAGTATTTGGGCAAATTCTGTTATTTTTCTCTTTTTTATTTTTTTGCTGAAATGGATCATATGCAAATGAGATATTTGAACCCACCACCCTCAGGTGCTGCTAATCACTGAGATACACTAGCCAGGGCCAAATTTATTCTTGAAAGTTTAATACTGATGTTTGATGTTTTAGTCATATATATTAAATGAATATATCTTATTAATTCGGTCGTGAGCACTTTGCAGATAAGGACTGTCTTGTACTTTGGAAACTAATACCTGGGCAAGGATAAAGATTTGATTTTGTATGGATACTAGAGTTTCTGTTTATTTACAAATAGTGAATGCTTTTAAACTGCAAACTGACTTCCTAGAGATGAAAATATGTTACAATGGTCTGAGATGAGAAGGAACAAATGTATGACATGCTTGGTACTAGATTTTCTAGTGACAAAAAATTCAAAATTGATATTTCTTAAAAAGGTGAGGTATGAAAGTAACACTGGTTTATACTAGAAGGAGTAAAGTGGTAGTCTCTTAATGCTGTTTCTTGATCTGTGTTTCAGCTCCAAGAAGATTCAGAAATGGACACTATTAATCAGTACATGGTTTATAATGATTTTAAATACTGGGTATTTTGATATCTCTTTAAAATTAAAAATGTTTTGTGCTTGTCACTATTCAAATATAACTCAAAGAGTATTTCATTGTCACAAACTATTAAACTATTCCTTCTTAGTTTCCATGTAGAATGAACATGAACAAGATTGTAAGAACTGCCGAAACCGGTTTGGCTCAGTGGATAGAACGTCAGCCTGCGGACTGAAAGGTCCCAGGTTCGATTCCGGTCAAGGGCATGTACCTTGGTTGCAGGCACATCCCCAGTAGGGGGTGTGCAAGAGGCAGCTGATCAATCATTCTCTCATCGATGTTTCTAACTCTCTATCCCTCTCTCTTCCTCTCTGTAAAAAATTAATAAAATATATTTTCTTTAAAAAAGATTGTAACAACTTAGGAACTGTAAAAAAAGAATAAAGGAACTAGAATTGTTTAGAATGAATAAAAGATAACTTAATCTTCAGATATCTGGTGTTTTTTTCTGATAAGGCAAAAGGAAAAACTGGAGTTATAAAGAGAAATTGTGGATTATGGAATACTTTCTTTAGAGATATTTGAAATAGACCTAGTATGAGTAAATAAACATAACTATAAATCATCAAAATCTCTTCTTTATTTTCCCATTTTTATTAAATCATTCATTTACCAATTATTTCCACTAGTTTCATGTGTGAGTATATTCAATGGCAACACATAGTAACTTTACAAATTAAACTTCGCATGTCATTTTTGTATAAATTCTAGTAACTCAGTAAATTTAAGGTAATTTTGGAGTATAACTTTAATTTGTATTTATAGTCATTTAAAATGTGTATGATATTTTTGTTTCAATAAATTGCTAAGGAATAGCCCATCAGCTCAGTGAGGTTTTTAGGTAGGAGACATTGATTTTAGTTGGAGAGCTTCCCTTCCATTCCTACTCTTAGAAATCTTTGAGATTTTATTTAATACTAGAGGCCCGGTGCACAGGGGTGTGTCCCTCAGCCCAGCCTGCACCCTCTTCAATCTGGGATCACACGAGGGATGTCCGACTGCCCGTTTAGGCCAGGATCTGGTCTAAACGGGCAGTCGGACATCCCTCTCACAAATCCAGGACTGCTGACTCCCAACTGCTTGCCTGCCTACCTTCCTGATTGCCCCTAACCACTTCTGCCTGCCAGCCTGATCACCCCTAACCACTCCACTGCCAGCCTGATTGATGCCTAACTGCTCCCCTGCTAGCCTGTTTGCCCCTAACCGCCTTCCCCTGCTGGTTTGATTGCCCACAACTGCCCTCCCTTGCATAGCTGGTCCCTCCCAACTGTCCTCCCCTGCTGGCCATCTCGTGGTGGCCATCTTGTGTCCATATGAGAGCAGCCATCTTGTGTGCTGGTATTATGGTCAATTTGCATTTTATTTTATTAGATAGGATAGAGGCCTGGTGCACGGGTGGGGTTCAGCTGGTTTGCCCTGAAGGGTGTCCCGGATCAGGGTGGGGGTTCCCTTGGGTTGTGGGGGGACTTGGGTGAGAGGCCTGCAGCCACGCATCCTGGGGACACAAGGACACAAGCAGAGGCCCTGGTATCTGCGATTTATTTATCTTCTGTAATTGAAACTTTGTAGCCTTGAGCAGAGCCAAGCCTCCTGCTTCACTCAGTGGCTACAACCATCTTGTTTGGATTAATTTGCATACTCGCTCCTGATTGGCTGGTGGGTGTGATTTGTGGGTGTAGCAGGTATATGATCAATTTGCATATTGCTCTTTTATTATATAGGTCTAGAGGCCCAGTGCACGAATTGATGCACGGATGGCGTCTGGCCCCAGTCGGGGCTGATGGGGGCTGGGCCTGTCAGGAGGAGGAGGTGGTGGGAGGTTGGCCAGCCCGCCAGTCCCAATTGGAACTGATCAGGGCCAGTCTGGCCGGGGGGGGGGGGGGGAGGGGGGGGGCCTATTGTGGTGGGGAAGGGCTGCTTGAGGGAAGGGAGTGGGTGTTTGGCTGGCCTGCCCCACACTGGATCAGGGCGGGAGAGTCTGATAGTGGGCAGTACTTATTAAAGGATACTTTTGAGAACAGTAAGTGGGAAGAATGGGAAAAGAGCAGGTTTGAGCAGAGGAATAAGT